CAAGAGGACCCCCACTGTTAAACCAGGATAGCTTACAGGGAAATCCCGCTCCCACCATATCCCGTAAAGAACCCGATTTTGACACAACATAAGATAAAAGGTCGTGGCCAATACCCTTTTATGCAACCCCCCTCCACCTGACCCCTCATTGCCCACGACACAAACACAAAATTCATGATAAGGTAACCAAGTGCCCACTGCACAGGGATACCCACCCCTCCCACATCCAAACTTAAAGCCCTCAAAACCGGCAAAACCGAAATCCTCTCCCTCCCACCCATCGTACTACCCTCCCCATCCATTCCCGTATGTCTTCCAATCATTCACAGAAATAGACTGCATGAAAGGCTGTATCCTCACCCCCACAAACCCCACAGACGCCCTCCTCTCGAATCCTCCGGTCTCTAAGAACCGCACCTGATGGCAGGATACCATGGAGGAACTGGAACATCACCTCCCGCTCCCATGGATGCGTAGCCTACACAACCTACCCCAAATATCCCCTCATGCATACATTGGATATGCTCCTTCCACTGTCGCCACCTCCCTTTCTCCCACCACTTTCTCTAAAACCCCCACCCTCATGTGTTTCATATCCCTAACATACAAAAGCACCTGTAACATGTCCTTACACACACACAAATCCTTCCTTCCCCACCATCTTCTGACATCCTCATACAAAAGGTGCAGCCCACCACCTATACACCCCACCAATCAGAGGAACCACCTCTTTACATATACACTTATGATCCTACTCTTCAAATTAATTAACCCCAGCCCGCCTCTGCGCACTGGGAGAGTAACAACCCCCCTCCGCAACCATCACATCCCAACCCCCAAATAATAATAATAATAATAATAATAATAATAATACCCCAATATCTGACTGCAACAACAGGTACATAGCTATCACATGCCAAATTTTACTATACAGTAAGACATTTACTACAATAACCTGCTGATGAAGCGTTAAATGACCCAGCCACAACCCATCCAACCGTCTAGTCACCTGTGCCATGACACTCCCTGAATTAACTATCCTAGCTTGCTGTGCATCCTGCATATACTCAATCCCACAAATCTTGACCTGATCCACAACACCCCACCTCTCTCTACCTTCCCCTCCCACCTTTCCCTCCCAGTCCCCCAAACCCATAATCTTAGACTTCTCTACATTCACCCTCATACCAGTAGCCTCTCCAAACAGGTCCACAATCCTCCCCACCCCTCCTAAACCTTCCCCCTCCTGCACAAGAATCCTTGTGTCATCTACATAACCGACAATTCCCAGCACACCTCGTCCTACCCACCCCTGTTGCTCCCCCTCATACATACCTCCACTGCTCTATAAAACGGATCACGCAAACATGCAAAAAGTAATTGGGATAAAGGACATCTCTGCCACAGACCTCTACCCATAGGGATCCGATCCCCCACCCTCATATTCACCTGCACCTGAACACCCACTCCATGATACAACATTTGCACCCACCTCACAATCTCGTCCCCAAACCCTTGCCTCCTCATTATCCACCATAATGCCTCTCTCTCAACACTATCATATGCTGCCCACCAGTCCAAGGTCAACACCCCCCTCCATTCCTTGCACACTCTCCATAAACCCCCGAATCACCCCGTGCCCCTCGTACATGGTCCTTCCCAGCACCCCATACTGGCCTGCTGCCACCACCCTATTGATCACACTCCTCAACCTATTCCCCAATATTTTAGCAAATAACTTATAATCTGCACACAGTAAAGAAATAACCCTATAGTCCTTCACCGTGCGCAGACTGGCAACCTTCGGGACCAAGACTTCCACCGCCATTGCCTGCAAAACCCCCAGCTCACCCCTTTTTTTCATCTCATTCAACAACTTCACTAAGAACCCCTTAAGTATGTCCTAATTCTGTAAGTAAAACTCACATGGCAGACCATCGATTCCCGGGGATTTGCCCCTACTCATATTCGATAATGCCCACACCTCCCCTTCTTCAATGTTCCCTTCCAGCACCATACGGTCCCCCCTGCTCAGAATATTGACCACCTGCCGTCCCAACTGCCCTAACGTCCCCCCTTCACACCAACACTCCTCAGAGAAGTCCCAAAGCATTCATCCACATAATGACCATCCCTTCTGTCATATGAAGCACCTGCCCCACACGATACCCTCCGACCTCCTCTTGCACTAACAAACATTCCATCTCTGTGGCTGCCTGACGCTTCTGCTGCCCCCGCAGAACACACGCCGATGGCCTGTCACCCCACAAAACTTCCTCTAACCCACCCTTAACCCACACTGCATCAAACTTCTGCAATTCCCTGATGCGTTGCTTCAGCCCCTCTATTTCCTCCACAGGATAGCCCCCTCCCCCCACCCCTCTCCCATAACAATCCCTCAACCACCCCTCTAAATATCTTATAAGCCCAAAAGTCATCTGAGCCTCCCCCTTGCCCTGTCTAACATAATACGCCCTGATCCTCCCCTTTGCCACTCCATCCCACCATGCCAACATATCCCCAGCAGCCTCCACCCCTGACCACAACTCTCTCCACAATCCCACAAACCCCTCCCTCCCCCCTCCATCTGCAAGGAGCCGAACATTCAATTTCCAAAAACTCCTATGCCTCCTTGGCAACCCGTCCCACCCCACTTCAACGAAAACCACCCGATGATCTGAATGTGCTACTTCCACTACACACACCCTTTCTACCCTTGCAGTCTGCATTACATACAAATGGTCCAGACGAGCAGCATACCCTCCCTGCACAAACGTGTGCGCCACCTCCCACGCCTCACCCTTAGCCATATCCCACAACTCCGCCCCCTGCAAAAGATCCCCTAACACTACAGAGTAAAACCCCACCCCTCGAGGCTCTACATCATTCCTTCTCGCCACACAATTCCAGTCACCCTCACAACCGCCACGGGGGGAAGCGACCGGAGGTGGTACACTAACACATCCCTCACAAAGGCATTCTTCACACATCCATCCCCCTCTGCAGACCCATAGACACACACTAGCGCCACCCTTTCCCCCATCCACAGCCCATCCACTCACACAACCCACCCCTCCTCCCCTGCCTCACTATGATACACAACAAACGGGCTGGTCTCTCACAGAAGGATGGCGACCTCCCCTTTCAATCGAGTTGAATGTACAACAAACACCTGAAATCCATGAAGTACTAACTCACACCTGGCTTTATAATTGTGCTCTTGCACAAAAGCCACATCCACCCCATACCTACGAAGAAAACCCAAAAACCACATACACTTCACTCTATCTCGCAACCCATTTACATTCACTGAGACACACTTCAAGCCAGCTGTACCTTGTGCCCTTTTGGCACTGACCTGCCTCTAGACGCCTGCCGGTGTCTACCATCATGCACACAACTAGACACTGGAGGTCCTCCAGTATCCGCCACAGGGCCCCTTGGCCCCTTAGGGCCGCCTCATGCCACCTCCGCCCACACCTTCTTGCCAGGCCTCTGCGCCGAGGTGAGGACATCATCAGAGTCTGACAGTGCCACCACCCATTTGCATGACCCTCCCTCTGCCTCCATAGCCACCTCCAGAAGGCCTTCGTTATGCACCACTGCCTCTACGGTGACTATTCATTCCAGCAGCCTGCTTCTCTACCTGCTCCTCCACATCCTGGGACCATACACAAGACACATTCCCAAGGGGTATTCCAAGCCCCTCCTCTTCCACCTCACCAGGTGTGTCCAACAATCCCTTCAGCACAGTCACTAATGTGACTTCCACTCTCTCTTCCATGGCCACCCTACCCTCCTCACCCAGCATAACCAGGCCAGTGGAGGAAGGTTCCCCAGGTAGTCACACAAGACTCCTCAAGCAGCTCCTTTCGCTCCACCTCTTCACTCCACAATGACGTCTATGAACGTGCACCCGACTCAGGCACAATAGTCACCTTCTGGATGGGCTCTTTGATTGGTTGTCGCCCTACATCCTTCCTCCACTGTTGGCGACCACATTGTGCCGCAAAGTGGTGGTACTCTCCACAAAGGCTACAAGTGAGGCGTTGCCCAGCAAAGGGCACCATAACTTGCGTACGAAAATCAGTCATCACTACATACGACTGTATGGGGTGTTTCAAAGTCCTCTTCAGTGAGAAGGTACCTTCAAGGAGGCCAGCACATGTGCCCTCCATCCACTTCCCAAAGGTCGCCACATGTACAATTCCATACCTGCTGAAAATGTTCCATAAATCAGTCTCATCGGCTTCAAAAGGCACGTTTCGCACCTTAACCCAAGTGAAGTAAGGTGCGATGAGCCTCACTGTGACCACCGGGTTGACAACCACACAATTATCTTGATATTTGTTCACCAACCGCTCATAGACACTTGTTCAGAGCTTAACAAAGACCCTATAGGCCCCATTAAGTGCCACTCCATAAAGTTCTTCATCAGCTACTCCATAAATATCCCTGATGATGGCAGGCAGGATAACAGAAGCTGTGATGAATGGTTCGAAAAACCGACAAGTTGTCGGTTTTTCAAACCATTCATCACAACTGTCAGACACTGCAGCATCATGCGATCTTGTTACAAAGAATTCTTCAACACTTGTTCAACCTTTGGACAAAGACCTACTTCGACTAGTGGATAGTACCACTATGACCCCGCCTCCGCCTGCTTCACCTCACCTCACTACAGTATATAAGCCATGTCTACGGCCTTATGCTGTACATTCTACAAGATTGATGGACTGAACACATCGACTCCAGGCTGAGGGACTGATTACCTCATACTCCTCCTTTCCTTACGCCTTCCTCTTTGTATTGGACTGATGAAGCCACTGTGTGGCGAAACGTTTCCTGAATAAAGATTCTCATATGCTGCATAAGTGTCTCAATCATAACAGAAGCTGTTTGGGCCGTCACAGCCCCACACACCAGCTCTATACAGTGTTGATCTGCCTCCGTGCCTGCTGCTCTGTATTGAGAAAATCTCAGCTTGCTTCAAAGGCCAGCAGAGGGCAGTGTAACGCATTTCCGCCTCCGCTTACTACATTCGCACTCAAGTTAACCACATTTGGGTTAATCGCAGGGGTCAGCACCACTGGAGTGCAATGGTGAGCCTCGCCCTGGGAAAACTGCCTTCGTGACCACGGTATCTCCTGTGCCAGGTAAGTATGGCACCTACATTATTATTATTATTATTATATTATTATTATTATTATTATTATTATTATTATTATTATTGTTATATATTATTATTATTATTATTTTATTATTATTATTATTATCTTATTATTATATTTTATTATTATATTATTATTTTATTATTATTATTATTATTATTATTATTATTATTATTATTATTATTATTATTATCATCATTGTTATTAGTGAAGTATTAAATCCATAGGAATCATATGGCATGTGGAAAATGAAAGACAATGAGGTTTGATCCAAGGAAGAAGAGAATAGGTCCACTCCCTTGGACTCGACCAGGTACACTAACCAGGTACTTTATTATTATTGCATTAATAGGGGAAGCGCTTAGTCCGTATGGGTCCTATACTGCCTGGAGGGGGGGATGGTATGGGTAGCGATCTCAGGTTAAGGACAGGAAGGTCGGCTCCGTGTCCTTGTGCCAAAAGCCCTTCACCGGTATCAAGGGACCTTTCAGATACAACAGATCTTGGTCCGTATCCGGTCCTCTTCTATGGTTCTTTCTGGCCCACTTCTGCCTGATCTGATCCTGGCCCATTTCTATCCCCTGCCTGGGCCACTCCTGCCTGGTCTAATCTTGGCCCATTCCTATCCCCGCCTTGGCCCCTCTCCTGCCCCTGCCTGGCCCACTCCTGCCTGGTCTAATCCTGGTCCATTCGTATCACCCGCCTGCCCCTCTCCCGCCCCTGCCTGGCCCACTCCTGCCTGGTCTAATCTTGGCCCATTCCTATCCCCGCCTGGTCCACTCCTGCCCCCTCCTGGACGACTCCTGCCTCCGCCTATCCCTTCAACTGTTTGAATACACCAACGTTCCTCTAGCCGCGCGAGGCAGTCCAGTTGTTGGCCAGACACTGGCCGAGTGGGGGTGTGCTGCAGCCTGCTTGTTGAAAAGTAACTTGACGTGCTCGTTGTGTTTATAATCTCCTCTTTTATTATACTCACCGTCCAATAAGTGTGGGATGAAAGTGATTCAGGATAGTGTACCGCAGGACTGAATAATGGAGACAGCGGCAGCAGAGAGCAGTTGAAGGTACGTTTCCTGCCGGTACTTTTCATGTTCTTTCATAACTCGGGCAGCTACATGTTGTGATGAATCGAGTTTGATTATAATTTTGAATGAGACGGGCAATTTTAATAAGAAATTAGTCATGGTTATTAATATTGAAAAGCGAGAGTATGTGTGTTAAGTTTATTAGGTACAGGTCCACATAAGTACAATTATCATATATAATAACACGTGTAAATTACCTAGGATAACCCAAAAAAGTCAGAGTGAGTTATCACAAGGACCCCAGTGGAAATAAGTCACTGACTTTTTAGGGTTATCCTAGGTTATGTACACATATGCTGCTATGTATGATAATCTATAACTATTTGTGTATACCTGAATAAACGTACTAAGTTACAGTGCAAGTTAGTCATGCTTATAACCTTCTAGGTACAGATACACAATTAAAATGATCATACCTGGTAACATGTAAGTTACCTAGGATAACTCGGAAAAGTCGAAGTGACATTTACATATCCTGCGGACACTTTCTTACCTATCTTTTTTTTAAATATGAATCTTCCAGGTACTTCATATAGAATTTGTGTCCATTAACCTTGATTTGGCATCTGATGAACGACGTGTCATTAGGGTCCGGGTCTTTACTGTTGTCTATAAGTCTGACCGATAATCAAGCATATTTAGGTACAGTTTTACAAAACTATTGAATAACAAACATGTCTTTACGTCGCAATATGTGTAAATTATCTGGGATAACCCAGATAAGTCAAAAGTGACTTATTTCCACTGGGTTCTTGTAATTAGCTTGTTGCTGGTATGTGAGCATGTATGATACCAGTTGAGTAATGAGCAGTTACTTGTACATCTACCTGAAGGACCACATCGGAAATCTCAAGGACCCCAGTGGAAATCACAAGAACCCATATGGAAATAAATCACTTTTTTTGGGGTTATCATAGGTAATTTGCTATATATGATAATTGTACTTGTGTACCTGTACGTAAATAACTTACTTACCTGGAGGTTGTTTCTGGGGTCAACGCCCCCGCGGCGCGGTCCTTAGCCAGACTTCTAGTTTTTTTTTTTTTTTTTGTACCAGTATGTTGATGTGTGTCATGAAGGTTCCATGCAAGCTAACCTTGAAGAGTACATTAGTGTGTCTCCAGTATATTGCTCATTGGTTATTCCTATAAACTGCCAATGCAGAACTCTTACAAATTACATTTAAGTACATAGATTCAGGTCTATGTATTTAGGTACATGTATTTAAGTCCATGTTTTTAGGTTCGTACGTTGTACTACGTTGGGCAAGCAGTAACAGCCTAGTCGATCAGGCCCTGATCCACCGGGAGGCCTGATCAACTAGGCTGATAATGCTGGCCGCACGTAGTCAAACATACGAACCACAACCCGGCTAAACCAGCACGGACTTGAGGTATCTGTCGAGCTCCCTCTTGAAGACAACCAGAGGTCTATTAGTAATTCCCATTATGCCTGGTGGGATGCTGTTGAACAGTATTGGGCCCCGAGCACTTACTGTGTGCCCCTACTTTTCACTGGGGATATGTTGCACCGCCTGCCAAGTCTTGCTTTCGTTGGCAGTGATTTCTGTGTGCAGATTAGGGACCAGTCCCTCTAGGCTAGGGGGTTCCAGGTGTAGATTACGATGCATCTCGCTTGCGCTCCAATAAGTACAGATTAAGGGCTTCCCAGTTCCTTCACATTACTTTTCCGCTCTATTGTGTGATTCGAGTTTGTAGTATACTCAGTTCTAGCTATTATTTCCTCCAGTATTCTATAAAGGAGTAATTGGAATTTGTTTTCATTGAGCATAATATTGTTCTCCATTGCCCATTGGAAAACTTGGTTGATATGTTCTTGGAGATTTACCATGTCATCAATGGATGACAGTCTCGTGCAGATCCTAGCATGGTCAGCAAAGGATGACAAGGTGCTATGGTTTACGTTTACATCTCTTATATGAGGATGAGGAACAGGGTGGGGATGAGTATTTTGCCTTGCAGAACAGAGCTTTTTACTATTTTGTGCGCTATTACACCATTATCACACTTGTCAAAGGCTTTTGCAAAATCTATGTATACTACATCTGCATTCTGTTTTTTTTCAGTGCATCCAAGACCATATCACAGTGGTCCAGTAGTTGCGAGAGGCAGGAGCGACCTGCTCTGAACCCATGTTACCCTGGATTGTGCAATTGTTGGGAATCCAAGTGGTTTGCAATCATGTTTCTTAGTACTCTTTCAAAGATTTTTATGATGTGGGACGTTAGAGCTATTGGTCTATAGTTCTTAGCTATTCCTTTGCTGCGATCTTTATGAAGTGAAGATATATCCATTGTTTTTAGTGACTGGAATTTCACCTGTATCTGCTCCTTCTCCATAGCATACTTAGGGCACATGAAAGAGGTTTCTTGCTGCTCTTAATGAACACAGTTTCACGAGTCTGGGACTGGGAGCAGAGTGCATGGGCATGTTGTAAATGGCTTTCTCAAAGTTAGGGTTATGTCAGAAATTTGGCATATACTGACAGTGTTTTGAGGCTCATGAAAAAATCATTTGGATTGTCGATCTGTAGACTGATTACCCCTCAAGGAAGGTTCCTTGACGCTGGTGGGGGCTATTGATATAGGGAATTGGATCTGTGCTCCAGTTTCCTGAATTAAGCCTGAATACCTTCCATTACCCCCCCCCACAGGCGCTGTGTAATCCTACGGGTTTAGCGCTTCCCAGTGATTATAATAATTCAGACTGATTACTGGTTCACTAAACACGGAGTCATATTGAGATTCCAATATCTCGCTCATTTCTTTGTTGTCGTCTGTGTAAGTTCCATTTTTTCTGAGCAGGGCCCGATACTAGATGTGGTTTTTGCTATGTTTTTGGGATATGAAAAGAAGTATTTCGAATTTCTTTCAATTTCACTCCTGTCTCTTCCTAAGCTCAATATTTTCCACTTCTCTACTTACCGCTTCCTTCCGCGTTTCAGATACTCTAGCGTTTTTGAGGAGCTGAGTGACTAGGTCCTAGGCTCTAGGTCCAAGTATTAAGGTCCACGTATTTAGGTCTACGTATTTAGGTATATAGATTTGGGTCCATGTATTTGGTGCCTAGATTTAAGTATATGCATTTCATGGTCATATATTATGCCACAAATCAAAATTGAGGCCTGATTATGGACCGGGCCGCGGGGGCGTTGATCCCCGGAATACCCTCCATGTAGGTAATGTTAAGGTACATTCTTCACTAGTATTATGAACCACAAGAATTTATAAATTAATCAAACTCAAATGTTATTATATATATAATGAAAAATTCATCCGGGTTAACCAATAAAGCAGTGTCTTATTTTAATTGCGTTCCTTTGATCCTCTTCCCCAGGATGTGACCCACAATGGTCGGCTAACACTCAGGTACCTGTGTACGTGCTGCTAGTTGAACAGGGACAACGTATTTGCTAGGGCCGGGATTGAACTCAGGTCCTGCAGATCCTAGCCGAAGGCGTTACGATGAGCCAGTTGCTAGTACCAGTAGAGTTGTGGCGAAATTTCTGTCAAAGCTTCATGTTTATATTGCTTCCCATGCTGTACTGGTCTCTGTTACAGAACGGATAAATTTTCAGTTGTCCTATATGGCAAGATGAGCGTTGTTATTTAAGCCAAGATCGCAAGTTCTGCCTATTCGGCACGACATTATATATATATATATATATATATATATATATATATATATATATATATATATATATATATATATATATATATTATATATATATATATATATATAATTAATTAATTCTAAGGAAGTACCACCTCTATAACGACTGGGATATATATATATATGAGAGGGGGGGGGGGTTGTAAGCGCTAGGCTTACTGCTCATGAAGAACCGTCGCGGATACAGCACATTCGCGAATATTACCATATGAAAAA